ATGGTAAATATATATATATATATATATATATATATATATATATATATATAAAAAAAAGAACAGTAAGATGTTCTTATAGATATTTTTATTTTTACAAAATAGTGCTCGATGTAAAATTCGCTTGAGGATGAAATGGAACTAATGTCTTTAATTTAATTACAAAATTAAATTCGGGGCTTTTAGCTTCCATTTTTGAAACATGGTTAGAACTGTGTAGCGAAAAAAATATTTTAAATCAATTAATTTATAATATATATATATATATATATATATATATATATATATATATATATATATATATAACCCCATATACAACCTTTTCTCTTTCTCTCTCTCTCTCTCTCTCTCTCTATATATATATATATATATATATATATATATATATATATCGTGAGAGGAGAGAGGTTGAGGTGGTGGTGTAAGAGATGAAATGAAAAGAAAGACGACGCTACATACTTGCTGGCTATATTCTTTCCTTTTCTCTCACTTTTCATTTCATGAATGAAATTTTTTTTCTAATAAATAATTATTATATATATTTCTATCGAAAATAATTTTTGGTATCGATAGATAGTTTTCACTATTTTCTGTGTCCTTTTAGACGACATAATTAGATCGAATAGATAGATTTATTTAAGAAATAATTGCAGTGCATTTCAATGGCAAATATTTTCCAATAACATTTTATAGATGCTTTTATTATTTGCTGTGTCACGATATATGTAATAATTAGAATGAATGTAAGTTATATAAAAATAGTTTGTTCACGATTTAATCAAATTTGAATACGATTAAACTACGTCTAGCAGCAAGGCCTCTGATCAGGAGTTTTTGAGGAGCGTTGAACCACCTCTTAATTGCTGGTGTTTCTCAGGTCTACCCTGACCCTTGATAGTAGCAGCTGTAAGGGTCCCAGCTATGGATAAATAGTTAACCCCCAAACTAGGGTCAAAACACTATGAAAGTGTAAAAATAGGTTTTAATATCCGCAATAATTTTTTTTGAGGAAGAATTATTACCAGCAATACATTTTTGAGAAAATAAATATTATCAGCAATGCATTTTCAGGAAAAAAATATTATCAGCAATATATTTTTTTGTAAATGATTATTACTAGCAATACATTTTGAAGAAAAAAAATATTACCAGCAATACATTTTGGGAAAAAATATTACCAACAAAAAACAATCTTGTCGGCATTAAATAATCTATTAAGGTTGATATGCCGTAAAATAAAATAAATCAAACCAAACTGATTTTTAACAAAGAATACATATTCTAAACGAAATCCTAAAAACGGCAAACCCATTGAGGTTTTTAAAACAAAAATAAATCAAACCAAACTGATTTTTAACAAAGAATACATATTCTATTCATACGAATCTATCCTAAAAATCTTGTCGGCATTAAATAACCCATTGAGGTTGATATGCCGTAAAACAAAATAAATCAAACCAAACTGATTTTTAACAAAGAATACATATTCTATTCATACGAACCTATCCTAAAAATCTTGTAGGCTTTAAATAACCCATTGAGGTGTTGATATGTAAAACAAAATAAACCAAACCAAACTGATTTCTTACAAAAGAAAAATTCTAATCGAAATCCTAAAAACACAAACCATTGAGGTGTTGAATTTCAAACCAAACCAAACCGAATTTCTTATATAAAAGAAATTGTTTATAAGTGCAAGGCCTATTTATAGCAAAACAACTTACAATTCATTTCTATAGATGCTTTTAATATTTGCCGCGTAAATATATTTTTCAGTGCACCCCAAAATTTTAAATAATAAAAACAATCTAAATATGAATAAAAATGATTCCCAAATTAATAATAAATACATAATCCTCACTTAAATGTACGCACAAAAACCGTAAGGTAGTTAAAGTACGCCTACTAGAAATTTGACGCCCACGTATATACCCGCTTTTGCCACAACGTGACATTTACTCAAACAACAAAGAGATTAAAACACGACAACACAGAAATTAAAATAAAAATTCCAACCGCAAACATCAGCAGATAATTTTTAACCTAATATTCCACTTTCAACCTTTCAATATTTATCAGGCGACTAATAAATACTCTTTTAAAAAATTAGGCACAGAACGCCAACCAAATTTAAGATACAGTGTAACCCGGATATAAGACACCCGGATATAAGAGAAACCCAGATATAAGAGATTTTCTCTGGTCCCAAATTAGAGCCTGTGTTACCTAAACAAAATAGACCAAACCCGATATAAGAGAAACCCAGATATAAGAGACTTCTTCTCCGGTCTCGACAACTCTCTTATATCCGGGTTACACTGTACTAACGTCAAAAATCAAACACGTGACATTTTCCCGATCAATGAAGACAAACAACATAGAATTAAAAAATATCGAAACATTTTCACGTTCCCTCACACCCCCACGAAAAAACTTCTGTTGATGTTATGACTAATGCTTTTTTACGGCTTATCAACCCTTTGTGAATTTTTTTTAAAATCAAAAAAATATTTTGGATTATAAGAAAATTCTTTATTTTGTGAGTGAATATTGCCTTGAATATTTTTTAGAATAACAAAGATATTTCCAGGTATCTTCCTATCAACTTTTCTTACATTCTTAACGCGCACCTTATTCATTATCACCATTTTTAACAAAACTCAAACTAGACAATACATTTTCTTTCTCTTTTTCTTTCTCTTTTTCTTTCTTTTTTCTTCTTTTCTTTCTTTGTGTTTTTTCTTTTCTTTCCTTCTTTCTTTCTTTTCTCTTGTTTCTACTAACAGACGATAGACTTTTTCTTTTTTTCGTTTTTTTCTTCTTTTCTTTCTTTGCTTTTTTTCCAGTCTTTTTTCTTTCTTTCTTTATTTCTTTTCGTCTGTTTCTACTAACAGATGATAGATTTTTCTTTCTTTCTTTCTTTCTTTCTTTCTTTCTTTCTTTCTTTCTTTCTTTCTTTCTTTCTTTCTTTCTCCTGTTTCTACTAGCAGACGATAGATTTTTCTTTTTCTTTTTTTTTCTTTCTTTTTCTTTTTTCTTTCTTTCTTTTTAGTGTTTTCTTTCTTTTTCTTTCTTTCTTTTTTTTTCTTTTTTTTGTCTTTTCTTTCTCTCTCTTAGTTTCTTTCTTTTCGCCTCTTTCTACTAACATAGGACAGTTTTCTTTTTTTTCTGTCTTTTTTTCTTTCTTTATCTATTCTACTATTCTTTCTTTATTTGTTCTTATCTTTTCTTTCTTTCTTTGTTTCTTTCTTTCTTTCTTTCTACTAACAGACAATAGACTATCGTCTGCTAATAGAAGCGTCTTCCATGCTGCCTCCTTAACGTAACCACTCTTCATTTTACTTGCTAGTCAAATGAATCACACCACAGCAACCAATTTCAGTTGACCTAACATGTTCAAAAATATCCCGAAACCAAAGCGATTCAGCGAAGAATCGCCCGAGGATCGAACTCATTTTAGTTAATCGCTTAACCACTGTTCTATGGCGATGTATCCTACTGCGAATGAAATAAATTTAGAGTAAGAATCTAAATTGTTTCCCGGAATGACATTTACCTTTCACTTTTTTTTTTCTCCCTGAGTTTCTGTATGAGATGTTATCATTATTTGCATGAGGACTATTATTCCCATCTTCATTGTTTTTATTACAACAACGAAGATGGGAACTTCCTTTTTTCTCTCTTTTCTTCACCTCTTTGTTTTCTTCTCTTTCTTACTGTTTCTTTGTTTTTTTTCTTCTTTTTCCTACTTTCTTTCTTTTTCGCCTTTTTCATTCTTTTATCGTTTTTTATTTCTTTTTTCTTTGTTTTTTTGGCATTTTCTTTCTTTATTTATTCAGCTTTTCTCCCTTTTCCTTTCTTTTACCCCTTTTTTTATTCTTTCATCATTTCTTTCTTTCTTTTTCTTTCTTTCTTTCCATCTTGCTTTTTTGTCTTTTCTTTCTTTCTTTTTTTCTCTTTTTCATTCTTTCACCACTTTTTTATTATTTCCTCATTTCTTTCTTTCTTTTTTTTCTTTCTTTCCATTTCGTTTTTCACTCCTATTCATTCTTTATCATCTATTTATTTTCCTTCTTTCTTTCTTTCTTTCTTTCTTTCTTTCTTTCTTTCTTTCTTTCTTTTCTCCTTTTTCATTCTTTCACCCGTTTTTCATTGTTTGATCATTTCCTTTCTTTCTTTCTTTCTTTCTTTCTTTCTTTCTTTCTTTCTTTCTTTCTTTCCATTTCGTTTTTCATTCCTATTCATTTTTTCTTCTTCCATTCTTTCGTATTCTTTTTCGTTTACATTTTATTTATTTTTCCATCATTCAGGCTTTTTTCCTTCTTTTATTCCGTCTTTCTTTTTATACTCTCATTTTTCCCTATCTACTTAAAAGACTGGGTATATATTTATTGGCTGTATTTGTCATTCCCTTTGAAAGGGACGAAGTTAAAAGTTTATATAAACAGCCCGCGATAAAATGCTTAATGAGGTTGCTTGGTAACTCAAAGTATTTAACAAATGAACACGCAGGGTTCCACTTCAACGTTGTTATTTCTGAACTCCTCTGTGTGAGCGGCCATTTTCCATTTGAACTATTTAAATGACCTGCTTGGGTTTCTTTCGACATCTTAATTTCCAAGAGTTTAAATCCTTGAATAAATACGACAGAATATTTCCACTGATTGAACTTTCAAAATTATTGAACTATCAAAATATTGAACCTTGAAGACGTATAACATTGTATATTAAACCATATTCGTCTGTTTTGGGACAAGACTATTCATTTACAAATGGTTGAAGAGTTCTTTTATGTGCTGTGTCCCTTTAAGACGTTGGCTATCATGGCCCTCCACCTCCTCCTCTCTTTTGCAACTCTTAATAAGTTTTTTCTTTTAGTTATTTTTTCCAGATCCTCTTTCGCCACCAACTTGCTCAAGCCTATTAAATATGTCACGAGTTGCTTTCCCCTGTCTCTCTTTCCCCCTCTCTGTCCTGTGCGTATCAGACTTTCCAAGCCCTTCTTCCTCATTATGTGCCACAGAAATTTCAGCTGCCTCTTCCTGATGTTAAGTTAAGTTACCTCTTTGTTTCAATTCTCTGCAAAAACTCATCGTTGCTCACATGTTCGGTCCATGGTATCCTTAGCATCCTTCTGTAGAACCACACTTCTGTTGCTTCGAGTCTCTTCTTCATCTTTGAGGAGATTGTCCAGCATTCGTTGTCATACAGGAGGACAGATATCACGTAACAGTTCAGTACTCTTTTCTTTCTTTCCAACGAAACTTTTCCGTTACGTAATACTCTGCTTAGTTTTAGGAATGCGTCTTTGGCCATCTGTTTTAACTTAGAAAATGTTACTGAATCCGGAATAACCAAAGATGAGTTTGGAAATGAAATTGTAATCTTTATAACATCAACAAAATACAATACTCGCCAGCGGCGTGCAATAGGTAAACCACTGCTAATGGTGGACTACTTAGACAACATATTACCCTCACTTACTATAGTGTCCAATGTATCCATGAAGATTAGGGCATCCCCATTATTGTTCATAGGTACGGTATATAACAGAATGAAAGAAATAATTTTGCTCATTTCTTTCTCTCTCTCTCTCTCTCTCTCTCTATATATATATATATATATATATATATATATATATATATATATATATATATGTGTGTGTGTGTGTGTGTGTGTGCTTGTGTGTGTGCGTATGTATGTGTTGTAACCTAGAAAAGGTTACTGAATGAGGAATAATCAAAATGGAGGTTGGAAATGAAATGATAATCTATATAACATCAACAAAATGCAATACTCGCCAGCAGCGTGCAGTAGGTAAACCACTGCTAGTGGTGCACTACTTAGCATATTACCCATTACCACTTACAATAGTGTCCAACGTATTTATGAGGAGTGTTACATACCCATTAGTCTTCATAGAAACTGTATATAACACCATCCCAATACGTTTTTAGATCTCAGTGTCACACTTCTCTTCCTCTGACAGAACGCTTCCCCGATAGAAAATACGAAACAGACTATTCCAATCTAAATTAAAATGATTTCTAGTAATTCTTTTGAGTATATAAATTTTTCTCGTGTCGTAATGTTATTTTTATTCCAAAGCGTGTATATTATTCAGCCTTGCTTGATCTACAATGCCCTTGGTGGCTGAGTCGGTATAAGCGTGTCGGATTTAACGCCGGTTTCTCCTACAAAGGAGGGTGAATATTTTTCTTTAATATCTCGAATATTCAACCTGGCAGATGATAATAAATATACTATTTAAAAAAAAAAAAAACAAACAAACACAAAAAGGGGTGTCTACTCAAATATGAGTATCCACGAAAAATAACTTTTAAGCGATAGAATTCGTCGAATTAATAAATAAATAATTCATAACTTATTTAGAATTTGCTTTATTTACGTTTCGATATGAAATTGAGGAGATATGAAATTTAGGGAATCTGTAACAAAAAGGATTTTGCTTAAAGGCACTGTTCAGCCTTTCTGGACCGACAACGTGGCTGAGTCGATAGAAGCACGTCAGATCTAACGTCGCTTTCCCCTGCCAAGGAGGGCGCAGGCTCGAATCCTGCAGGAGGGTGAATATTTTTCTTTAATAAGATTTCTTGAATATTTAGTCCGATAGATAATAATAAATACATTGCTTAAAAATTAAAAAAGACGGTTCGTCAACTCAAAAATGTGTATCCAATAACAATAATGGTTAAGTGACACTATATATATATATATATATATATATATATATATATATATATATATGAATTTCAAGAAAACTAGAGTCCTTCCATTCGTAATATTAATTTAATTTATACGCTTATATATTTTTTATATCCCAGGAAATAAACTTGATAAGTCTGGGACGAAACCGGTTGTTCTTTTTTAGCTTTTGAAAAATGCCATATAAATTTTCCTTATTCGTAGCTATCGGTAAATTTTGTACCATAAAAAACTTATATATATATATATATATATATATATATACAAAGACGCAAGGGCTTACTCATGAAAGATATTAGACACTACTTACATTTTTCCGACTGTTGTCCTCATCTTTTTGCCATACCCACGACTTTTCTGCTGTTTTACATTCCGACCGTCTTCAGTTGATTGCAAATTCGAACTGAACCCTTTATTTCATCCACTGGGGTATATTATTCTAGTTCCATGTGCCATGCCTCTTCCAGATGTCACGGTAACACTTTTCTCCCCTTTTGTTCGGAGTTGTGAGTTCAATACCTGGCTAAAAGGTATTGGGCTCACAACTCTTTGGCTCAAGTCACTGGATTCAACCAACTCTTTTATCCACTGGGCCATGTGTCCTTGAGGATAATCAGTGTATGCATCCGGAAGAGGTATGGCACGTGGAACTAGAACAATATAACCCGGTGGACGAAATAAAGCGTTCAGTTCGAAATTCCAATCACCTGAAGAAGGCCGGAGCGACGTGGATATAGCAACAAATATGCAGACAACAAACAATGTAAATAATTACAATACTTCATCTCAGAAATATAGAGAGATGTGGAAGAAAATAGAGTAAAGTAAACCCTGAAAGCATTACTGGGGAAAAAAGACAAAAAGAAATGTGTTCAAGGAGACAGAAGATGACGATTCAAGTTTCATTTATATTTTTGTAGACTGTAGTTAACTTAAAAGCAAGAAGATGGTATAGTAAGATGGACAAAAGAAGAAACTATTAGTGTAGAACTTACGGCTACATGTAGCAATTTCAACAGTAAAATGATGAGACCTAATTGCCAATCTAGTACTGCATTTAAATTCACGAAGTTGGTGTATTAAAGAGGAAATCTCATCAGAACAATAAAGAAAGTATTTGAAGACAAAGCACAGAGGGAAAGTGACTGAAGCCGAGATGCCAGGTCAAGACCGATAACATTGGAATATTTATTAATTTTTTTTTTAAATCCAGAACAAAGAATTTATATTATATATGAAAATGTCCGTCATATATATTGATCTTCTAAGCGTAGCTTAGATTTAGCACAAAAAGTATGGGGCACCCGGTGAGGATCGAACTCGCTATTCAATTGCTTTAGTCAAGGTTTCTAACCATTACACTACGCTAGAGTGTCCCTACCGTATATAATTGTATATCAGTCGATTTCGCCCAGATATTTTTGTTAAGAATTGTTTAGTTTGGTTTGGTTTGTTTTACCGCATATTAACCACAATGGTTTATTTAATGCCGATGCCGACAAAATTTTTATTGTTGATAATATTTTTTTTTCCAAAAATGTATTGCTGGTAATATTTTTTTATTTCAAAAAATATATTGCTGGTAATATTTTTTACTTCAAAAAATATATAGCTGGTAATATTTTTTTTCTAAAATGTATTGCTGGTAATATTTTTTCTAAAATGTATTGCTGGTAGTATTTTTTTCTAAAATGTATTGCTGGTAATATTTTTCAGAAAATGTATTGCTGGTAATTTTTTTCTTCAAATATCTATAGCTAGTAATATATTTTTCCAAAATGTATTGCAGGTAATATTTAAAAAAAAAATCTATAGCTGGTAATATATTTTTCTAAAATGTATTGCTGGTAATATTTTAAAAAATGTATAGCTAGTAATATTTTTTTAAAAAATGTATTGCTGGTAATATTTTTTCTTCAAAAGATCTCTTGCTGGGAATTTTTTTCTTCAAAAATCTATTGCTGGTAATATTTTTTCGAAAATGTATTGCTGGTAATATTTGAAAAATGTATAGCTGGTAATATTTTTTTTCAAAAATATATTGCTGGTAATAAGTTCAAAGATATATTGCTGGTAATAATGTATTGCTGGTAATAGTTTTTTTCTTAAAAAATTCATTGCTGGTAATAATTTTTTACAAAAAATTATTTCTGCTATTAAAACCTATTTTTACACTTTCACAGTGTTTTGACATCAGTTTGGGGGTTAAGTATTTGCCCATAGCTGGGAGCCTCGGTCAGGGTAGACCTGGGAACACCAGCAATTAAGAGGTGTTTTCATGCTCCTCAAAACCTCCTGATTGGAGGCCTTGTTGTCAGATGTAGTTTATCGTCTTACCCAGGACGTATTAAGAATGAATTGATAATCTTCATGGAAAGGTTAACGAAACAAGAAATAGCTCAGAAATCATATTTTAAGAAACTCTGACGAAAACCTCTTTTACATCATGAAACTCGGCCAGCCTTGGTGTGTGTGTATAGCGGAGGGGTGTATGGCTAAA